ATGTTAAGGATGATGCTTGCTCATTTTTAGGTCATAAAATTTGGTTTTGCTTGTTCATTTGGTTGTTTTATTTTGAGCTTTTAATTAGGATTTGTAAGTGATGCATGCTTGCTTTCTTTGGTGTGTATGCTTGCATTTTCCTTTGATTATTTTGCTTTTTCTTTTGAGCTCTCTTCTCTCATTTCCCATTCTGTCCCATGACCTTGGAGTCTCATTTAAGGTGTCTTGGTCCCTCCTTTGGAGGTATTTGAAGCACACCTAAAGTGATGAATCCTTGAGGACTTTCTTTGTGTTCTTTGTGCTTCTTTGCTTTTGGTTGGTGATGCTTATGATTGAGTGCATATTATGAGGTCCTTGCTATCCTCATATAGCCTCCCATCCTCACTTAGTTTTAGGTTTGATTTACCTTTCCATTTGTGTTTGGTTTTTTCATAATGGTTGATGTTGTTTGGCTTAGGCCATTTCATCCCATTTTTGTGGCTTTGGTATGTTTGCTTTTGGTGCATCTTCTTCTCCTCTATTCTTTAAATTTATAATATGTGTGCTTGGTTGAGATGAGCTTGTGGAGGCTACTTCCCCACACTATTTTCCTCCCACTTTCATTCTACTTGTGCATATTATGTTTGCGTGTTTATATTTGCATGTTCTTTCTTTCTTTCTTCTTCTTCTTTTGCTTTTCTTTGCCATGCTCCCCATAAGTTCTCTAAACCTTTGAGGTTATGATAGACATTAGGTGCCTAACCATGAATGATAACATTAGGTAGTCCCCTTGTGTATCCCAACTTTAAGTTCACTTTGCATGATAGCTTTTAGGATTGATTAGTCTCCCATTAGAGTCCTTTCTTCTCTTCTCATCTTCAAACATTCATAAAACACTTAATAAAGAATGACAAGTGTTGTACGCTACGAGCCTTAAGCTACTTGAGAAATGGTGATTGGGGGGCTTCCTCTTAATGACCTAGAGTGTTTAGTGTACACCCTTTGGGTGATATACGACGCATTCGCTCTTAGGTCATAGTCTCTAGTGCGACATGAGTTACAAATCAAATTCAAAACACTTCTTCTCTAAAAAACACAAAAACACTTCAAATATTTTTCATCCTTCGGGATCTCAATCAAGGAAAACCTTTTCAGATAAAAGAGTGTTGTTATCTTTTAGTTCTACCGCAAATGGTAACGCCTAAGTCTCCAATGGTCGAGCTGCATACACCAACTGCTAGAACTACTTGTTAACCCTACTCGGGCCTAAAAAAACTTTTAAACCAACCCGTGGTCTTGTTAGCCCGAACTACGTTTGCTCTGATCTTTCATACCAGATGAAAGTACGTAGGCACAAGACGCGACGTCTTGGCGAGCAACCTTTTCCCCATCACCCGTAGTTAGTCGAACTACGTTGACTCTGACTTTCCCATTGCACGAGGGAATACGTAGGCACAGAGTGGCGATGCTCTGCCGAGTCTCCTCTTTTCTTTTTCTTTTGTCCCTTAACCTTTAGCTAGATAGATTGATCACCCTTTTTTAGATAGACAACAATGCATGGATCCCATCGAGTACGACGGACGTGAGGGGTGCTAATACCTTCCCCTTGCGTAACCGACTCCTGAATCCAGACATGGTTGCGATGACCTTGTCTTTCCCTTTTCTTCAGGTTTTTCCGATTGTTTCCTTTACCTCTCTTTGGGATAAATAACGAAAGGTGGCAACTCTTATGTTTTTCCGCCGGGTGTTTTTTGCAGTTGTGACAAAGAGGATACACACCGCTTCCCCTTAAACCCAGAACCAATACTTGTCTCGACAAGAATCATGCTTCCTAGGAACTGAGAAAAGGGAAGTTTTCCCAGAGGAGACATTTCCCCAAAGCAACCAAACACCAACCTGAATTATCCCGATGAGGACTCAAGGAAGCAGCCTGCAACTCCGGGTAACTCGGAACACAAGATACAACTGTGTTCATAACTCAGATCACAAGATACAAAAGAAGGACTCAGAAAAGAAATTGAGACACAGACAGGATATTAGAATATCTTATCCAACATCCTTGCAAAATAACTGCAAGAATTGACTCCGCACCAAAAAGGATATCAATTATGTGTTGTAAGGACCAACACACAACTGAGCTGAATACACACCCATTCTCCCCCTTTTTAGCCAAAACTTGACAAAAGTAACCAACACAGTTCCAGACCCACATGGTACTTACCCAAACCCGAAAAAAATCCATGAAGACACGACACAACAAGACAAACACAACATGAGACTAACGAAGCACATACCCCCTTTAAATACCCAAGCAGTTTCTCTAGGAATTAACGTTCCATAGAAGTTACTGAAGAACAATTCAATGATGATATAAATTTAGGTAGATAACTTCATCATAAATGACTGTGCACCGCCCAAATCTGATTTAACTGTTTCAACTTTAGGGAGAACCGTCCAAGGAATGTGCATTAACTAAGATACATGTTTTACACACCTTCTCTTAGGCACTCTCTCCATTGTCCAAGGAACACCGTCCAAATACACCTTCTTGGAAATAACCACAAGTTCTAAATAATGTCTTGACATTTGGTCAGAATTTGTTTAGTATTTTTCATGGCCTCAGAGGCATAGTCACAGATCCTTCAGGTAATCCCAGCATGTTCTTGTCAACTAGAGGCTTACTAAGATGTTAAGACATCATGTCCAATGTCTTCCAACAAGGACTCCCAAGAACTTTAACTCATTCCGCAGAGAAAAATAAATTCTCCCAGAAAACAACCAATCTTATTTCTCAGGTCTCTCCTAAGAATTAAGAACACAATTGATATAATTTAGTATCCTTAATAGCCCAACCTATCATGCAGAGCTGACAATTCTACCAAAATCAACACACCGTGATATCAAGATATCTTGCCTGACGTCACATCCTCACAAGAATCATATGAACATCTTCTTGCTCATAAGTGAGAAAAATACCAGGACCATAATCCTTGTATCATAACTAGAGAAGTTTGGATTAAGATCAAATAACATCATTGATCACTCTCTCCCTGAACACATCCATCCACTGTACAAATTCCTCTTGAATTTTATAGCCATAGACAACCTTGTTCTTGAGAGTAAATCCAATTAAGCCTGGAATGTTCACATTCCCTAAAGAGACATACACATTCTCTTAAGCCCTTGGTTAATCAAGATGTCATCCACACATGAAAGTCATCAAACCCCTTCACCAAAAAAATAAGAAAAGCTCCTCAACTTGCCTCCTTCTCAAGATTCAATCTGATACACTTTCTTCTAGAGACACTTCTAGCAGAACCAACCATCTTCACATAGATAATCAAACTCCACAAAGTATTGATCATACTTCACAATGAATAAATAGTTCACTTCTAATCCAACTGGTGAGAACCAAAACTTTCCTTTCTGAAGAGATAGACAGCTAAATTGATGTTTCAGACACTAGTTAAAACATCATCTTCATCTGCTTTGGTTTCGGATTTAACATCCATAGGAATAACTCTCTACATGGTAATCCATACACTTCCTTTTACAATAACCACAAGAGGATCCCAACAGATCACAGCTATAGTAGCTCATAGGTCTTCATATGAGGCATAATACCACAGAGAGAAATAAACTCACTCAAGCATCAGGAAGCTTCATCACAGAGGCACAATGTTCAAACATCTTGTCTGACATTACAAAGTCAACACCCATCCTTAAGCATCCACAGAGAAGATTCCCTCTGACAGATACCAGTATGACTGACAATAAGCATAAGATATAGATTAAGTAAAAAAAACAGTCTTCTCTTCAAGGTCTACTTCTCCTCTTCCCTTCAATCTTCTATCATCTACTTTACATAGTACACCATAAGCCAAAGTACATCAGTATTATCAAGCAACATACTTGAGCAGGTAGTTCCTTAGAGCACACTCAAAAGACATTTTCCTTCCGAGTGACCATACATAATATCTTTCACAAGGTCCTTGATCATGTGGGAACAACTGAACTAGAGCTTCTAGTACAAACACCCTCTTACCCCAGACAGAACTTTGGAACACTCATATCAAACATCTTAGATGAGTCTCCATGAAGATATGAAAACACCAAGCAATCAGCAACTCCCTTGAGCTATTAGCTATTGCTGATCCAAATAGGATGAGATAGACTTAGGAAACAACCATAGTTGGAGAGCATCCACTCCTAAGAAGACCAACACATATAAAATGGTACAGCTCCTATGCACAAAAATGATAACAACATGAACATCTTATTGTTCAGTCTAATGTCATAACATTTTATTTACATCAATGACTTGACTAGCCAACTGATGAAACCACATATGCCTGAAACAGTATTGAAGATCTAACCTTTAAACTTCTAGACATTATCCCCCCTTAGTGGATTTTCCACCATAACAAAACAAAAGTTCCATGTTCTCATAGACTTAATCATGAAATAATGTTTGAGTAAATAACCTTCATCCCGAACATAAGAAAGAAAAACAACAACCAGACATTTGTAAGATGAACAAATACCATGAGAAATTTTCACCCCAATAACCATGATTTCCCCCCCTAATTTCCATTATACCCAACTTTTCATCATATTTACCAATCTAACCAACTTTGAGTTTTTTTTTTAAATTACAAGGGGGCGCCATTGGCCTTGGCTCCTCCCTTATAAATTATAGGGGGGCGTCATCCCCTTTGACTCCTCCCTTAAATCAGAATTTTGAAAATAGTTTTTATTATATAATAAGTTTAAAAATATTTAATAAATAATAATTAACAATTAAAAATATTTAATAAATAATAATTTTATAAATAAAAATTTTCAAATAATAAATAAAAATTAAATTGTATTTAATAAACTTAATATTAAAAAATAATTACAATTTTTTTTAATTACAAATGGGTACATATGAGTGATTTGGTACACTAATTTCTACGACTTGGTCGGTTTAAATGTCCTCCCGTACCGCATCCTCGATTACGTATGTTTCTTGGTCGTCTTTATGGTGGAGTCGGGTCGACCGTGTCGTCTTCAAGAAATTGCATCATTTCGGCCCATGAAGTCGATTCCATCCCCGTAAAGTCATCCAAATCAAAAGGGTTGCCCATGCCTTCATAATTATTTTGAGGTGGTTGGCTGGATGAGGCAATGTCAGGACGATAGCCTGACTGGTCGTAGGGTGACATGAGTGTAAATGTTTGGGCTGGTAAGGGTTGATTTGGTGTTTGAAACTGGGTGTTTATTTGGTTTGTAGTATTCATGGAGTATGTTTGGTATTGTGGTGGATATTTTTGGTATTCGGACTGTGAATAAGTTTCTGTGAATGGGGTGAATTGGTTAGGGGTATGTTCATATAGTTGTGGTTGTGTGAAAGGGGGTTGGGTTGGAGGTTGGAAATGGGGTTGGATTGGTGGTTGGAAATGGGGTTGGGTTGGCGGTTGGAAATGGGGCTGGGGTTGGGTTGGTTGTTGGGGTCTTGATGATGTGGCTTGTTGGCGTGGGTCAACAAGATATCTTGGATGCGAAATGAAACCGATGGATACCTCCCTATACCAATTCATGTATTGGATAGTCTGTTTTCTCTCGTGTGGAAACACAGTGTCGGACAAAACAAAATGGCTACGATGCCTCCATTCACGACACTCATGTTTTGCATACTTGGTCCATGGAGAATATTCCCATTGGTTGGAGACTTTACCGGTGTGATATTTGTCGGGGATACATTTCGGCGGACATGGAATATCTTGAAGCATTCCAAACTGAAGCTGTACACGATCATTGTTGTGCATCTCCATGGTTGTGAAGTTGATAATCGACACCTTTGCACTCCCCACTGCAGAGTCGTGTTGGTTAACTTCGTGAATGGCTTCTAGACCAAGATATGGCCGCCAAATAAACTGTAGGAGAAAAAAAATAATATTTAGTATTTTCTAATAATATTTAAGGAGACTATATTCTAAATAGGTAAGTTAAGGATACTATATTCTAATAATACTTAGTACTTACATCATCTTGTCCCAAATGATCTATAAGATTTCTGTATTGGGTGATACTGAAATGGGGACAGTTATCGTAATTCATCCCAAGTGAAGACCACCTACAAATCGAAAAGAAAACATTTGTTAATAATAGAATAAATTAAGTAAAAGACTATGAAAGATTGATCATTCTTGGTCTAAGTAATTACCTTGTAGCGTATGGGAATTCAAAATTATTTTGTTGGATAGGTGCTAGATTGGTCATCCTTGACCATCCCCAAGCTTGAAGAAGAACACCACAACCGGTCCAATTTCCCGAATTTTCTATTGCGTTGTTACACAAAGACTGATATAGGTGCGCTAGTGTAGCGGACCCCAACTATATGTTCTTATTTTATCTATATCATCTAGTAAAACTAAATACATAGAGTGGACAGCGTAGCCACTTGTATCGGGACATAAAAATAAACCTAGTAATAACATAATATAAATTCTTGTTTTTCTTATTTTCAATATTTCTGGAGAATCTTGGGTTAACCTCATTTCTCCAAAAATTCTTTTGAGCCATGATAATAATATTTTTTGGCCCCTTAAATCTCTTGGGGTTGGTTCAACCCCTAAGAGTTTTTCTATCACACTACCGCTAGGATTAGTGAGACCGTTTACCGCCTTACCATTAATGGGTAAACCCAATAACATGTGAGTGTCCTCGAGAGTAACTGCACATTCACCTATCGGAAGATGAAATGTATGCGTCTCGGGTCGCCACCTTTCTTGCAGTGCCAAAATGAACTTGGTATCTAGGAGATAATTTGTTATTTTGATGACTTCTCAGAATCCTGCACGCTCCAAAAATGGTCTAATGATCGGGTCATGTGGGAAATGTTTATGCCCACGAGTTCGGAAGTCATGAGTATTCTACAAAATAATAAAACAAATGATTACAACATTGTATTTGTAAAAATATTATAATGCTATAAATCAATACAACATTGTGTATTATCGGGTACGAATACTTACGTAAGACGCGATGTTGCTTGGTGTTCCTCTATGTGTTTCGCCCAATGTTAACAGAGACATTTCTCCTATAATTTTAATATATGAAGAAGATATTGGTAGAATTTAAATTGTGGAAAATATTTGATGAGTTTTTGAGAATGAGGAGGAGAAGTATTTATAGTAAAAATTTTGAATTTGAAATTTGAATTTTGAATTTTGAATTTATGGTGGTAGAGGTAAAAATTTAATTTGTGTAGTAGAAATATTAATTGTTGTAAAGAGGAGTAAATGTATATGGATGAAGTGTGTAGAAAATATATTACACTTGGCATTCTGCATGCATGCAAATCACATTTTTCGTACACTTGTCACGGGGGAGCCAACCCCCATGGCGCCCCCCTTGAATATTAATGAAGGGGGGCCAACCCCCACGGCGCCCCCCTTAAAAATTAAGGAAGGGGAGCCAACCCCTATGGCGCCCCCCTTGACGAGTTATGAATATTATATTCATAAACTTTTGTTATTTATTGATACATTCATGAAAAATTAAATACATCTCACCATTTGCAAACACAACTCTTACACTCTTACACTTTCTTCAAATATGTCTAGAACGACAAATTATATTGTTCATGCCTATTGTAATGGAGAAAGTTACATCTCTGAGGATTCGGGTTTTGGGTTTCAAAATACAGATGTTACCCGATTAACAATGAGCAGAAAATCTAATTTTTTGCATTTCAAAGAGCGAATAGAATCGAAGATATTGTTTGGTCCAATCTCTCAAATTTTTTAGAGAAGTCCCGTATTCTTTGACAACAATCAGGTCAAGTATTTTCAAGAGAAAATACAAGACGACATCGATGTAGATCAAATGTTTGATAGTCATGAACACTCTGGGTTTGACTATATCGAGGTTTATCTATTACTCTGCCAGACTCAACATCAAGTTGGTGAAACAACGGATGTAGATGAAGTTGATGTCGTGGACTAGGAGGAAGAAGAAACTGAGGCCATGGTTGATCAAATGGTTAATTTGTTCGGTACTGGGGACTACACTGCACTAACTCCGCTTCAAGACATAGATGAGGAGACACTACCATTAAGGCATATGTATTGTCCTCCCCAACACATGACGAACTTGCAATTGAGTGTAGACGATACTTCCTCAGATGTTTTCTACAATCCTTCTCAAAAAATTGAAGGTGTTTTGAAAGTGGGAGACCAGTACCGAACAAAAGAAGAGTGCATGAAAGTTGTAAGAAAGTTTCATATGGATAACTTCGTTGATTTTTACATCAATCGGAACGACTCAAAACGCTATGTTGTAGTTTGTCGTAACGCAGATTGCAAGTTTCGGTTAGCAGCATCCTATCGAAAAAGAAGTGATTGTTGGGTTATAGGTACGATGGATCCACCTCATAGTTGCACAACCAACATCAATCGGAAAGATCATGGAAAACTAAGCTCTCAATTGGTATCCCAAGAGATCTTGCATCTTGTGGGCGTAGGTCCATCTGTGAAGGTGAGCACAATTATCTCTCATATTGTTGCACAGTTCAACTATACCCTATCGTACAGGAAAGCTTGGATTGGAAGAATAAAAGCTGTTGAACATGTATATGGAAATTGGGAAAGATCTTACAATCAACTTCCACAGTATTTACTAGCACTTCAAAAATATGTTCCCGGTACGGTTCTAATTTTGGAGTCACTACCAGCATACACTCCTGAAGGAACATGTGTTGATGGTAGTAGGATATTCTCTCGTCTCTTTTGGGCATTTCAACCATGTATAAAAGGTTTTGTATTCTGCAAACCGGTTATTCAAGTCGATGGAACATGGTTGTATGGAAAATACAAAGGAACATTGTTGATAGCGGTTGCACAAGACGGAAATAATAATATATTTCCGGTTGCCTTTGCCCTGGTCGAGGGTGAGACAGGTGAAACTTGGAGTTTCTTCCTCAGAAATCTCAGAACACATGTCGCTCCTCAACCCAACTTATGTCTGATTTCCGACATACATGCCTCTATTGTGAGTGCCTACAACAATCCTGCTAATGGTTGGCACAATCCTCCTTTTGTCCATGTCTACTGCATAAGACACATTGCTCAGAATTTTATGCGGGAAATGAAAGACAAAAATCTCTGCAAAAAAGTTGGGAATGCTGGGTATGCCTTAAACCAACCATCATTCATGTATTACCGCGAAGAAATAAGATTGTCAAGCGCGGAAGCACTAAGGTGGGTGGATAACATTCCAGTCGAGAAATGGACAAGGGCTTTTGATGGAGGATCCCGATGGGGTCACATGACCACAAATCTTGTAGAATCCCTAAACGACGTATTTAAGGGAACTAGAAACTTACCCATCACTGCGTTGGTAAGAGTAACCTATTACAGATTGGGGTCACTTTTTGCGGCAAGAGGCAAAAAATGGAGCGCTGTTTTGGAATTAGGGCAAATATTCAGCGAATCTAGTATGAAATATATGAAGGATGAAACTTCTAAGGCGGCCTCACATCGAGTTAGACCATTTGATCGTCACGATTACAGCCTCATTGTTGATGAGACAATGGATCACAACGAGGGTCGGCCAATGGGACACTACAGGGTGGAACTTCATAAAAACTGGTGCGACTGCGGAAAGTTTCAAACCTTCCGCCTGCCTTGTTCACATGTCATTGCCGCATGTTCTAGTGCTCGTCACGATCCATTCTTGCAACTATCAGAAGTTTACAAGGTCGTGAACTTATTTGGTATCTACAGTAACAGTTTTCCAGTGGTAGCTAGTAAGGAATATTGGCCAACCTATCATGGAGACACAATCTACCACAACGAAAATATGAGACGAAACAAAAAGGGATGCCCTAAGAGCACGCGAATTACAACTGAAATGGATACAACTGAGAAAATGGAAAGACTATGCGGAATATGTCGTCTTCCCGGGCATACGAGGACTAATTGTCCAAATGTTGGAACCAGTTCTAGATAGATTTAATTTCGTCATTAAAAAAATGTGTAATCTTGGAATTTAATATTTATAACAACTTCTGATTACACATAAACAAATTGAAATACTGCTAGAGCAACATAAAAAAATAATGATTGTTACAACATAAACTAAGCTATTACAACAATCAAAGTAATATCATCAGTTCCAAACATCATTGACCTAACTGCGTTGTCATCTCTAATTCGCACCCACTCCCGTCGTATATTTCCGTCTTCAACAGAGAAGTACGAGACAAGTCTTTCAATACTCCTAATGCTTTCACCATTTGGAATGTCTCCTTCTAACCACCGATTCAAATTTCTTCGTAGTTGCTCTAAACTCTGGATGTTCCAAAACAACATCCTTATCGGAGGTTTCGTTCTTGAAAAAATTACATGCCCATATCTTCTAAGATACATGACTCACTCTCCTAAATTTGGATGAAACAATGTGTTGTTTGAATGAAACAAGTCTAACTATTTATACACAAAAATTTTGTACAAAATAGTATTATATTATAATTATATTATTTATATAAGAATTAAAAAATATAACGAATCAAAGGGAGCTCCAAAGGGGATGGCGTCCCCCTTTAACTCTTTAAGGGAGGAGCCAAAGGGGATGGCGCCCCCTTTATAAATTATAGGGTGCCTCCAAAGGGGATGGCTCCCCCCTATAATTTATAAGGGAGGAGCCAAGGCCAATGGCGCCCCCTTGTAATTTAAAAAAAAAACTCAAAGTTGGTTAGATTGGTAAATATGATGAAAAGTTGGGTATAATGGAAATTAGGGGGGAAATCATGGTTATTGGGGTGAAAATTTCACACCATGATGTTAGTCTGCTACAATCACAATTTTCCAAGGAAATGATCCACATACGACCAGAGCCCCTACTAGACTCAAACCAAGAGAAGAAGTAGTCACAACTATCAACAAGATCACTCACATTCAACTTTGAAAAAAATCTTCAAGATGTTAGAGTGGATGTCCCAGACATGTTTCCTTGACATCCATGAGCACAAAAATTTATTGAGATGTCTTCACATCCCTTCAGCATAAGGTACGCCATAAGATGCTTCAATGGAGTACCAAAAGTTTAGCTCCAGATCATAAGTAAACTGACCTAAAGAAAACTCACGAAAGCAAATGGTGTCTTGATCTTCATCTTCACCAGTATACATATACAAGACAATACCCTTGGATAGAGACTTCCTAGATAATATTCCAGAAGACTCTTCAAGACCAATTTGAAGAAGATTCTCAATATTA